AACACATTAATACTTTTTACATTTAAGTTTTCCTCGTATCATCGAAGATGAATAAAAAATATACATGCTCAACATGCAATGAGGAAAAATAGTGGGTAACGGGTAACTCTTGATGTTATTTAGTAGTTGACAATTAGAATATCTATGATTTTCTACAAATAATAATAATAATATCACAATGTTGGCATAAAAAGCAAGCCCAGCATTTCTTTTGTAACAAAATTCTCTAATAAATTAGAAAAATCCACTAAAAACATTCACATAGAAATAGTTCTGAAAACTGTGTGTATTATGTATATATATTTATGTGTCTATTATTGATCAGATGAAACTATACAGAGATCTAAAAATTTACAATGTTTAATCAATGAAATGGTAATAAGGCTTTCCTCATTGCATAGAAAAATTCTGTCCAAGATTTTATACACAGACACACACACATACATTGTAAATATACGTACGAAACTATCAGCATTTGCAACGGATAATGTTGCAATTGCATAGTGATGATTCGGAAACAAATATATTACATTGTTGTTGAAAACCTGTAGCTTTATGAGCAAATTGATTTTTTAGGTCTTGCAATTTATGAGTTATATCTTTAACAATACATCTTAAGGGAAGACTTAGATGATTATCAGTGATATTTGATTTAAAGATGTCACAAATACAAAAATTAGCTTTTGATACACTAGCAATTTTCCAAACTTACACACAGATAAATTCAAACTAATCAGTGATGCACATGTTTATTACATATCTACGTAAAGTAAATGTTAAGAACAAAAACATAAAAGTTACTGTAGAAAAAGAAAAATTCAAATTGATTTCATAAGATCCTTATAATTTAAGATGCAAATGTACACAATAGTAATTAAACAAAACTTGGTCTGTTCTTGATCAAATGTCATCATATATCCATATTTATGAAAATACTTCATATAAATCTAAAATTCATGACAAGCCTTCTGAATATCTTACTCGATGTATTATGGAATTTTTGCAGCCGACAAAACATGAATTCAAAATGTATAGTCCAACACAATACAGATAATCCAATTTCTCTTTCAAGCATATAAAATTTACATTCTCAAGTTGAGATCCATTGTGCCACCTTACGATGCACCAATTCATCATTTATGCAGAGCTGCAAAGAAAAAAAAGGAATGTGAAAATTTATTTTTATGTTAGTATGTTAGTTATGCAGTTTAATCTTTCAAAACAGTTGAAAATACCTGACTTTTTTTAGGGGTGTACACACACACACAAATCTAAAACTAATGAATTTAAATAATTAATTTCGATGCCTAACAATTAATATTTTAATCAGAACAACAACTTTGGTCAAAATATATATATGGTAAAAATATGTCAAACAGCTTAATTTATAAATCAATTACTTAAATAACTTTGATATGTTTGTCAAATCCAGATTACCTTACATAAATAGTTTTTAATCTATTGTGTTATACAGTAATACCCCGAACTTACGCGATAGGTGGGACCGAGCGATAACCGCGTAAGTCGAATTTGCATAAGTCGGGGTATAATTTTGCATATAAATACATACAAATAACACAAAATAAATTGTAGCTATATGTCGAACACGTCCGAAAATGTAAGCCGAACAATAGTGTGGGGGGAAATGAGTAATTAAGAGTTGCGTGGCGCTCAAACAAAAGACGAATCGACGAGAGTTGAAAATCGCGTAACTCCAGATTCGCGTAAGTCGGGGTATTACTGTATATAATTTAAACTTAGAGAAATTTTAAATCTTTGGTATGCAGTTAACACCAATATATTCCATAAACCATGTTATATTTCCAAGTACCACCAGATATATATATTATACTTTGAAAACTGAAGTTATATACAGATGGTTGATTCACTGTTATAGTAGCAAATTTAAATATTTGCTGTGTGCATCTGTAACTATGCATGGTCACAAGATGTTTTACTCACTAGCTATCCTACTAAACATTCCAAATAATTTTTTGTGATATTTATAGAAATGCTCCGAAAACATTGTCATTTTGGAAAGGTACTCTCCTATATCTGTTCTTGCTGTATGATAATGTAGAGAAGGAATTTGCAACTTCTGATCAAGGAGTCAATGTGCTTCATTCTCAATGATCACAGACATCTTGACTCAGCAGCTACAAACCTGCGTAGCCCAATAACGACTTCGCGTTTTTACACTGTACTTTTTTAACACCTGATTAAAGCACGTCTACTTCGTACTTTATTTTGTTATAGAAGATTGCCGATTCTGATATGTTTTATTGTTTGTTCTAATGCCCTCTTGCGAGTGTAGGTTACTCAAAAGAATTACCTTTTACTTTTCTCTCGGGCAAATTGTTAAGGTGTAGTCATGGTTTATTATGTTCCAAATGTCTTGTGGATTCCTCACCTTTTCTAGTTTTAGATGAGATCTCTCGTTTATTAATTCATTAGTTTCAATTAGACTATTATCGTTCTCCTTCATGTTTTTGTCAAATCCCAGAAAATGAAAAAGTTGTCGGTACCTACCTTTTTCTGTGGCTCACTCCTATGAGAGCCTGAGCAGGATTACAATGTTCTAAGACATAGATAGACTTGGTTACAACTGATTCTTACCGAGTAAGGAAAATCGTATTCCAGAGATTGGGAACACGTTGATCGATTATTATTTGTCTAATTACTTGGTACAGAATTTGCTTGCTGATTTCCACATCGACCCCGATAGTGTCTTTCATCTTCAGCTAAAATTGTGTTTCAAACCAGTTGAATATTTTCTAGTAAATTATAGTTTACCCAATGAGAGAAATGAATATTGAATTGACAGTTTAATGTAACGATATATACGTGCTGTCTATAAAAGGAAAGACGCCTCCAGGAAGGTCTTATATGGAAAACCCGTCTCTATTCAGTTGTTAGACACCTGAATAAAAAAATATCGTGAAACACCACGCATCCAGGATATAGAACATCGTCAGAATTGCCAAAAGAAGGGCCATCGACAGAGTAGAGAGAAGACAACTCCATCAGAACCTTTAGAAATTGAGATAGTAGCAGAAGTGCTCGAAAATGAGCCTTCAGATATAATAATTGCTGAGGGAGATACTTCAAATCTTAGTTATCAGCATATTAAAGATATGTCTTGTTAATTTCCTTATATTAATTAGAAATATGAAAATATACTTAAAAAATAATATTGACAAATTTACACGGTAATGTAAATTTATCAATATTATGGCAGTAATTCACATGGCTGTTCTCTGGACAGAAACTTAAGAGGAAAAGCCGAGGTTTTACACCTTCTGCCCGAGAGTATATAGTCAATATCTGAATAATAAACATTAATTACAAATCATAGAAAATATATAGTTTCAAATACTTAAACAAACAATAATAGTAAATTAATATTATAAACAAAGTGTCTGTATGGCTTTAGAGTTTTACTGACGAATGCTATGACATATCCAGTTATAATTCCAGTTATGGGAGGTATCTCCAAAAACATACCTGTAAACATTACAGGTACAGAAACTGCCGTCAAGCATGTGTTGATAAATAGTTTTCAAATTATTACCGTTTTATCTTGGATGTACACGAAACATAATACAGTATGAAATTTTCAGTCAATGATTACATATTACATTCGTAATTATTAGGCTATGGAAAGTCGTGATATCGGGACATCAAGTAAACGTTCCCATGTCAAAACTGTAAATGATGTCGAGAATTTTCATTATAAACAGTTGAAAACTATTGATCAATGCATTCTTAATGACCTGTAAGGTTTACCATGTTTTTGAAGAGATTAGTAATGAACCACTAGGATTTGCCATAATAACTTTCTAGTAAAAAATTATTTTTTATGTGACTTAAGCAAATTACTAATTTAGTTGAGCACAGCTTGGACTAAATTGGAGTGTAATTTGATCGGATTTCAAATTGTTTACGTCAAGACTTACTAACCTTTTGTTTGTTATGTCGAAGACACTGAAGCCGTGAGCCCGAATAGGGATTGGAAAATTACCAATCCGAAATGCATTGTTAAATAGGCGAAATAAAGATAACTGTTTTAATCTCGGTCTCTGCTAGTTGTGCATAATTAAGAAAGACGCGATAAATATTACTAGTCTCACTATTGGAAGAAGAAATCTTCACTTATAACTTTTTATACGCCCTCCAGCCTGACGAAATAGAATCTGTCTCCTCGAAGTTAACTACTGTCCTTCTCCCGAAGGCTTTGTACATTTCTAACCTTTCGAGTTGTTTCGGCGGAGGCACTGTTTTTTCTCGATGGCGTCTTTTTCATTTCTGAGGAAATTGTAGGGTTTTAGAACAACACTACAATTTCCCCACTCCTTAGAATTCTGTGCTCACTACATCGGGCTATCTCCTTGTAGATGGAACAGAGGATCTTTTGGTATGTGACTACCACACTGTCTGGGCTGTGTTTTCGGAAACATTCGGAAAGTATACATATCTATAAACTGTTTGGGAAAAGGACAGTATGAACCATTTATATGTTATTGTACTCCTATAATGACACAATTTAGCAAAATCGCTATAGAGAAAATTGCCGTCAACTTAGAAACAATAATGTAACGAAACGACGACGTCATCTATGTGTATATCAAAATATATTTTAAATCATCACGTTATTGAACGCCGTTTAGTAAAATCGTTATAAAAGTATAATGTAACTTAATTAGGTTTATTTTGTTAATAAAGAAACATTAACAATTGTTTATAAATAGTTTTTATAACTGATCGTGATTCATTATGACATTTTATTTCATCACTGTACTTTTTTAACACCTGATTAAAGCACGTCTACTTTGTACTTTATTTTGTTATAGAAGATTGCCGATTCTGATATGTTTTATTGTTTGTTCTAATGCCTCTTGCGAGTGTAGGTTACTCAAAAGAATTACCTTTTACTTTTCTCTCGGGCAAATTGTTAAGGTGTAGTCATGGTTTATTATGTTCCAAATGTCTTGTGGATTCCTCACCTTTTCTAGTTTTAGATGAGATCTCTCGTTTATTAATTCATTAGTTTCAATTAGACTATTATCGTTCTCCTTCATGTTTTTGTCAAATCCCAGAAAATGAAAAAGTTGTCGGTACCTACCTTTTTCTGTGGCTCACTCCTATGAGAGCCTGAGCAGGATTACAATGTTCTAAGACATAGATAGACTTGGTTACAACTGATTCTTACCGAGTAAGGAAAATCGTATTCCAGAGATTGGGAACACGTTGATCGATTATTATTTGTCTAATTACTTGGTACAGAATTTGCTTGCTGATTTCCACATCGACCCCGATAGTGTCTTTCATCTTCAGCTAAAATTGTGTTTCAAACCAGTTGAATATTTTCTAGTAAATTATAGTTTACCCAATGAGAGAAATGAATATTGAATTGACAGTTTAATGTAACGATATATACGTGCTGTCTATAAAAGGAAAGACGCCTCCAGGAAGGTCTTATATGGAAAACCCGTCTCTATTCAGTTGTTAGACACCTGAATAAAAAAATATCGTGAAACACCACGCATCCAGGATATAGAACATCGTCAGAATTGCCAAAAGAAGGGCCATCGACAGAGTAGAGAGAAGACAACTCCATCAGAACCTTTAGAAATTGAGATAGTAGCAGAAGTGCTCGAAAATGAGCCTTCAGATATAATAATTGCTGAGGGAGATACTTCAAATCTTAGTTATCAGCATATTAAAGATATGTCTTGTTAATTTCCTTATATTAATTAGAAATATGAAAATATACTTAAAAAATAATATTGACAAATTTACACGGTAATGTAAATTTATCAATATTATGGCAGTAATTCACATGGCTGTTCTCTGGACAGAAACTTAAGAGGAAAAGCCGAGGTTTTACACCTTCTGCCCGAGAGTATATAGTCAATATCTGAATAATAAACATTAATTACAAATCATAGAAAATATATAGTTTCAAATACTTAAACAAACAATAATAGTAAATTAATATTATAAACAAAGTGTCTGTATGGCTTTAGAGTTTTACTGACGAATGCTATGACATATCCAGTTATAATTCCAGTTATGGGAGGTATCTCCAAAAACATACCTGTAAACATTACAGGTACAGAAACTGCCGTCAAGCATGTGTTGATAAATAGTTTTCAAATTATTACCGTTTTATCTTGGATGTACACGAAACATAATACAGTATGAAATTTTCAGTCAATGATTACATATTACATTCGTAATTATTAGGCTATGGAAAGTCGTGATATCGGGACATCAAGTAAACGTTCCCATGTCAAAACTGTAAATGATGTCGAGAATTTTCATTATAAACAGTTGAAAACTATTGATCAATGCATTCTTAATGACCTGTAAGGTTTACCATGTTTTTGAAGAGATTAGTAATGAACCACTAGGATTTGCCATAATAACTTTCTAGTAAAAAATTATTTTTTATGTGACTTAAGCAAATTACTAATTTAGTTGAGCACAGCTTGGACTAAATTGGAGTGTAATTTGATCGGATTTCAAATTGTTTACGTCAAGACTTACTAACCTTTTGTTTGTTATGTCGAAGACACTGAAGCCGTGAGCCCGAATAGGGATTGGAAAATTACCAATCCGAAATGCATTGTTAAATAGGCAAAATAAAGATAACTGTTTTAATCTCGGTCTCTGCTAGTTGTGCATAATTAAGAAAGACGCGATAAATATTACTAGTCTCACTATTGGAAGAAGAAATCTTCACTTATAACTTTTTATACGCCCTCCAGCCTGACGAAATAGAATCTGTCTCCTCGAAGTTAACTACTGTCCTTCTCCCGAAGGCTTTGTACATTTCTAACCTTTCGAGTTGTTTCGGCGGAGGCACTGTTTTTTCTCGATGTCGTCTTTTTCATTTCTGAGGAAATTGTAGGGTTTTAGAACAACACTACAATTTCCCCACTCCTTAGAATTCTGTGCTCACTACATCGGGCTATCTCCTTGTAGATGGAACAGAGGATCTTTTGGTATGTGACTACCACACTGTCTGGGCTGTGTTTTCGGAAACATTCGGAAAGTATACATATCTATAAACTGTTTGGGAAAAGGACAGTATGAACCATTTATATGTTATTGTACTCCTANCGCGTAACTCCAGATTCGCGTAAGTCGGGGTATTACTGTATATAATTTAAACTTAGAGAAATTTTAAATCTTTGGTATGCAGTTAACACCAATATATTCCATAAACCATGTTATATTTCCAAGTACCACCAGATATATATATTATACTTTGAAAACTGAAGTTATATACAGATGGTTGATTCACTGTTATAGTAGCAAATTTAAATATTTGCTGTGTGCATCTGTAACTATGCATGGTCACAAGATGTTTTACTCACTAGCTATCCTACTAAACATTCCAAATAATTTTTTGTGATATTTATAGAAATGCTCCGAAAACATTGTCATTTTGGAAAGGTACTCTCCTATATCTGTTCTTGCTGTATGATAATGTAGAGAAGGAATTTGCAACTTCTGATCAAGGAGTCAATGTGCTTCATTCTCAATGATCACAGACATCTTGACTCAGCAGCTACCATTTGCTCTGAGTCTTTGAAAGTCATGCTTTAGGCCCAAAGGCTACTGCAAAAAAATTGTAGTGTAGGAAAGCCCATTCTTCAAAAGAAACCAAGCATGTAACAGTGTCTCTAGCAACAGTTTATCACATAATTACAAAAAAGTTTACAATTACATCACAAACCTGAACTCTGAACACTTAAGAGCACAACACAAATTCCAGAGAGGAAGTAGAATTGCCATCTTGCAGGCAACAAGTGGAAATTTTTTTTGTGAGTCTAGATGAAGCACAAACCTAACAGACTGGTATGAAATGATTCATTTTCTACCAACTAAACTGATCAAAAGAAATGTTCTGATTGAGTAATGGAATGTAAAAAAGTTTTTATGAGCATTCATGGTTGTAGCAGGACACACATACAATGTCAAACTTCCAATTTGTAAAGTTGCAATTAATGCCAAAATGAACACAGCTTATTAACAGAAGCACATTTTGTAACTTATGGACTGCAACTACATGCCAATGCCATATGTGCCAAAAGTAGTTATCTAACAAAACAGGGCATTCAGCTATACTGTATGATCAACATTGGCCTACATGCAATGTATGATTCAGGAAACAGGAATTCACAATATTCCATATTTACGTCCCCATCAAATTACCAGATGCTGCCAATGGACTTCACAGTTTCAGTATCCTGAAAACAGCACCTAGAAATTGGTGACCCTATACATTATACCAATAATCTCAACTCATGTTCTGCAAACTTGTCCCATATTTCACAAAAAATTAATTTTTATTGCAAATTTATTCCAGTGTACTATAATACATTTCTTTAAAAATATTTTCATGTATCCAGCATTGTCCAAAAGTCAGTGAATAAAAATAGTTGCAAGAAAAAAATTCAAAAGAAAACAGTTATAAATTATTTGTGATTCAATTGATTCTGATGAAGTGACCAAATAATGATTAACCGTATCTAGTCATCATCTACACAACTTAGATATTTCATTTAAAAAAAATCTAATTTGAAACCTTATTATGATTATGATTCTCTCAATATAAATTCAGAAAATCAATTATATAACATTGCTGTGTTATGAATTATTTTTGAATCAAAACAGAAAAATAGTCTTTGTTCCAGAGGAAATATACACAAAGTAAACATTTAAAAGTTATGAAAAAGCAAAAAAATTAACTGAAGATAAAAACATCTTGCTTAAAATTAATACCAAGTAATTATTATAAGACCAAGTGATGAGCTGAAATTCAAAAGTGACAAAAATTCATTCCTAGGAAATTGGGAAAACCCTGCTCAAGTACTGTACCTTGGGAACACAGCTCTTACAATATAGTGAGCTGCTGAGAATTATTCATATACATTTAGGCACACACATCCTTTTTAAGATTATGCTTGGTTTATGGATAATTTTGCAACAATTAAAATTTTTTGACATTTAGATCCTTTGACTTTCAATGCTTCAATTAAATACTTACTGTTAATCCATTATGAACTTTGTAAAGCAATATTAAGGGTACTCCATTAACAGCATAAGCAGTAATTACAGCATGTAAAACATGGCCTCGAACCAATCCTTCAAACAATTCTACTGACTCATTACTCCATACTTCTGCTCCTAAAATAACAAACACTCAGTTATAAATAACACCATAAAAATTTTTTACATTTTGAATTAGCATAAAATTTAAAAAACTCTAATTAGAGTTTATATTTAGACAAATCTAATAATTGAATTTTTTAGACAAAACTTTGGCTAGTAATTAAATTAAGTAATTTGGCAGTTAAGGCGCCATCTTTTATTTCTAATTATTAAATCCAATACATTATTTAATTTATAAAAGATTATAATCTGATCACAATTGAATTTTTCATAATTTTTGATATACATCATTATATATATAAATTTTTAAGTAATTTTCACAAAAATACATACCATTAGGAGGAGCAATATTTGCCAAGTAACATTCTTGTGCTTGAAATGGTAAAGTCAAATAATCACCTCTGTAAAGAAAAAATAATTCATTGTTTTAATAAGAATACATAAATAATTTCAAAATATTCATTGATTAAAGATATCAAAGTTATCATCATTGGATAGAAAAGATAATCTGATCTCGAGATTAAAAAAAAATCGTTAAACTTTGAATGATAAAAAATTAAGATAAAATAAAATGAAAATATTAAACTATAATAATAAATATAGGCTGTTTGTGTGTTTGCATTTTACTTCATAAATTATAATTTTTATGTAATGAAGAAAAAATATTTATTTTTATTATAAAAAGCAAAAATATTTTATACTCTCTTGGCTCTATACTAAAAATTGTTGCAAAATGTTTTCCTTTAAAACAGTTTATAAACCATTAAAGGAAAACATTTTCAATTTTAAGTTTCATTTTTAAATTATGAGAATAATCTAAAAATTAATTTTTATTCTATAAAACGTCATACCTGATTTGTCGCAAATAGGAGACTGGTACTGTTGAATATCCTCCATAATCAAGAAACATTACTTCACATTCATTTGCTTCATTGATACTAATTACCTTTGCTCTATACCATCCATTTATTCCAGGTGCAGCACATAAGTTACCTACATTATGAAATAAATTTTAATCTAACAAAATATTTTATAAGAAAAGAAAATCTAATCAACTGAAAAAAATTCTTATACAGTACTGTATACATTTATTGTTCAATCCAAAAAATTTTGATATAAAGATTTGGCATTTTAATCAGAAATCAAACTTTGTTTCATGCAGCTTACAGAATGGATAGTAATGCATTTTATGATCTTTTTAATGCTCTTTTCTATTGCTATTTTAAAGAATAGAACCAAAAACTTTCAAAATCAAGTATTAATATAGATCAAAGTTAAATGAAGCCAATAAGTTTCTCCCAACACAACACTACTTACTGAATTTAGTAAGTAGTAAGTAAAAAGCATCAAGTAAGTGATAAAAATTTAAATTATTATTAAAGCTAAAAGCAGTGTTGTCCAAACTATGCCCCTTGAGCATAATCTGGCCCATATATTTGATACATCTCTTATTGATAGAAATATCGGATGTATGGAATATACAAAACATTTGTGGTCTGACTATATGACTTAGGTAGTTTAGCCTAAACAAAAAGTTTGGATACAAGATTTAAAAGGATAAGTTTTTGACAAGACATTTGAAGATCTAAATTAAAAAATGCTTAATATATACACAAAAATTAATTTACAGTTGTTTACTAAACATTTTTAAATGTAATATAAAAATACCTTCTTGAGGCATCACAATTCCTGGAGCATCCATTTGGCTGTACCATGTGCTCATGAGATTATCTAAGCTTGGTAAAGAAGGATAAGTTGGATGTGTTGGTTGCTGCAGAAAAACTTGTCCAGGAGACATACAACTTGATACAACAACTTCACATGGTACACCTTCTGGAATTCGTAGCTAGAAAAACAGAAATGATCAATTATTTTGATTAAGCATAAAATAGAATTTTACACTCAATTTTTTAATTTAATTTAATTATTTTATAGTAACTACACCATGTTAAAAATGTTTGAAGTACATATTGGTGTTAATTCATGAAAACACAATACAACAAACTGATTGTCTTAACTAAATGTATGTATAGGCCATCATTATTTTGCAATAAAAGAAGTTCTATATTTTAATGTCTAATAATTTTAATTAACTAAATGTGTGCATATATAAATGGCTAAGACAATTAGTTTATTGATGTTAATTCACAAAAACACAATACTATATGTAGTTCAAATCTTTTTATCATTTATAGGATGTCTTCATTGGGAAATGAATTTTAGAACAGATGAAGTTTATTAAAATCAACTCAAATCCATTTAGCAAGCATGTTTTAGTTAATACAATAAAATACATAAGAAAAAGTTCAAAAATTTTCTTTTAATGGATTAACCAATATTATGGCAGATAAAACATGAGCAAGTTAATGAAATTGTGCTGTCTTAACAATAATACTTCTCAAATGAAATTATTTTTGTATCAGACTCTTAATAGTGCAACATCCTTCCAATGTGGAGTATAATCACCTTCTAAAACATATTTCGCAAGCTATTACAGGCATGACCTTATTTAAATTGATATTCTGTGTGTGTAAGTCTTGATGATGCACCTATACATTATGAGATCAAATTGAGAAGGGTGGGAGAATGGGATAGTGTATATAGTTGTAACATTGAGGCAATCTATCCATAACCAAAAACCTTCTACTGATTGCTCCTTCCCCAAGTTTAACATATTTGTATTTTTAAAATAATGTAATGAGCTTTACAGGTCATTTAGCTACAGAAGGAATAGATGATGCACAAAACTATCTTATTTAATGTAAAGAATAGTGCACTGGAATAACAAATGATGCATCTTACGGCATATATAATTAAACTTACTACCATGATAACCAGTCATGATCATAGATAACTGGATAATATCCATTAATTTTCTAAAAAAAAATCAACTAAAGAAAGTTGGCTGATAAACTATGCATCTCAATGCACTGATAACCAGGAATTCATAATAAGTTATGCATTACTGGGAATTAGTTGATGGAGCACTAAATTTTTGGTATATTCCAAAGCTTAAATTATGGTCCTGATGGATAATGTGTAAATCTAAAAAGCAGATTGTGTGCTGCACAGATTCACAATCAACAATAAATTTAATACTGAATATATTATTTAGACAGTGTACAAACAGAATAAAATCCTATGTAGATCCTTCCATGCAATGAGGATACCACCACCATAATACTGGAAACTTTGAAATATATGAACCGTATCATCGTTGATTGTATCCTTAGTAATTTGATCCATTGACATCTCATTTTCTTAGTACAGTACAGATATATATTTAATAAATATAATATTCTATATAATAGAATGCAATATTTTTATTATTACAGTTAAATAAATCCAAAATACCACAAAAAAAATTCTAACCTGCAAATAATCTGGTAGTGCATATGGCTCCACCGAATATACAATTTGTTGAAGTGTTATAGCAGGATAATGGGAAAGAGGAAATCTTTTTCGAATTAATGATAAAGCTTTCTTAATTCCACTTTCAGATCCTAAAAGAAAAGGCAAAAATGTTTAATAAAATTTTATTCCAATAAAATAATGCTATCTTTCATATTAGTAAAATTATATAAAGTGTTTGTATTAATCCAATCTTAATAAAAACTAAGATTGGACTAATAATAAAAATTCTTACTGTAAAAAAAATTTGCATTATTTTATAAAGTTCATTTAGAATGAAAACTAACTTAAAATCAATATATTTTTCCATTACTATAAATAGTATTTATTCTGGTTTCTAAAATTTCAGATTTTTTTCAATCAAAAAATTTCAGAAATTAGAATTTGGTATAATCTTAAACAGCATTTAATTTCACACTATTTGATGATACATGCAAAAATTAAATCCCTATTTTCCAAGTAATTTCATATAATTCTTTTTTATAAAATAAATTGTAAGTTCATTTAAATTCAAGTTAAATTTGTTAATCAAACAAAATTTATGAATCTTAGATGCATTCATTATATCTTCTCAAAAATAATTCTCTGTTTAACTTTAAAATCAAAACTTATACAATTTATATTCCACAAATTTTACTTCATAAGTAACAAAACATTAGATTAAATTTCTATAAATGATTTTATAATTTATTAAATCTTAAAATCAAAAGACTAGTTTGAAGTAAAATAACATTCTCTTCCAAATTAAGAAGCATAAACACACTATTGTTTAAAGACTATTTCAATAAAAATCCTATTAATATCTTTAACACACAAATAATTTAATATAAAATATTAAACACCAACAAAACCTTCAAAATATATCATCAAAAATATAATTTAATATAAATATGTTATGACAAACATTTTTGATCCTAATAGGATCTGCATCAGATCAAAAATGTTCCATAGAATTAGAATGCTAAAAGATCAAATTCAAATTTTTAAAACTGCAGTAACAGTTAAATATTAGAACAAGTATAAAAATCAAAACTAGGTGCTAACATTAACATTAAAAATTTCAAGGCTGATCTTTTAGCATTCTAATTCTATGGAATATTTTTGACTTGACGCAGATCCTATTAGGATCAAAAATCTTTGTCATAACATATTTATATTAAATTATATTTGCTGGTATATTTTGAAGGTTTTGTTAGTGTTATTTACTAGTGTATAACCAGCTTCAGGAAGATTTAGTTACTAATATACTTTGCAAGAACAAAAAATTAGTTTTAAAATGAAACTGATAACTAACCAAATATCAAACTCAGCTTATTAAATACATAATGAACTATCAATACCACCTTCTGTTGCTGAGAGATGTCTATTAAATAAAACCCAAACATTTTCCACCTAATACAATAGGCCATCTTTAGGTGTAACTGAATTTGAATTCCTTTTCAAAAATTTAATATTTTATTGATGGAGCATCTGAACATTTTACATTTAAATTTAAAATGAGACTATTAGATAAATTAATAAATAAAATAAAATACATAAATGCATCCAACTGCAATACCAATTTCCTATACTGCTTATAAGTCTTGACCACCATATTAAATTTTTGAAAAGGCATTTGAATTCAGTTACACCTGAAGATGGCCTATTGTATTAGGCTGAAAGCATTTGTATTTTGTTTAATAGACATCTCTCAGCAACAGAAGGTGGTATTGATAGTTCATTAAGTAAAACTAATAACTATATGAAAAGATAATCAGAATATGGCAGTTAACATTTATATTTTCATTCCTATATAATTTACTATTATTATTATAATTTGAAAATACAAGAAATTCTGTAGTTTGGCAATATATTGTTCAATGCTAATAAATGAAATTTGTTACCAAACAATTTTTCAATAATTATATTATTCTTTCTTCTGTGATTATTGATTATGATTAAAATTATTAAGCACTATGATAATATTGTACTATTTTGCTTATATATATATTTTATGATTTTACACAAAATAGAATATTTACATTAAATTTTATAATTAGTTATTTTAAATTTGAAAAATATTTTGAACACAGTCTTTATTGACATATGATATGAGAGCTTTGATTCCAGTTTTAAATTTGCTTAAACAAATTGTTCTATTTTACACAAAGTTAACCCCTAAAACACTCACTATTTGATGATATAAAGAATGCAAAATATTTGCTTTGAATATTGTCTCATATGATAAATACTTTTTGCTGTTAGTTGTTATTTGCATTATCATGCAGTTTCATCAATAATGACTAAGAGAAGTTTCTTCAGAATGCTGTGAAAACAATACTTCAAATCTCAATTCTTCAGGTCATTTCTCTAACAGAATTTAAATGATTTTCTTAATAAACACCATGCAAGCAAAGCATTATTATTATTTTTTGAATCTATAAAAACTTTTACAATGCTATTTTTAATACAANCCATCCCATTGAAGGATCATCGATGTGATGAACAGCTATTATACATTGGATCCACTAAACGCTCGTTATCTGTCAGATTAAAAGAACACATCGCAGACATACAGCATGGAAGAATAACCACGGCACTCGCTCGTTATGCCACAGATCCAGATATCGAACCTAAGTTTAGTGAGGCTAGAATCATTCACACCACACCACATACGGAACATCTAAGATGGATAGAGGCAATGTCTATATATAAAGCGGCCCGAAACAACAGGTGCATTAATAATAAGGAGGAATTATCTCTATCCCTAGCGTGGGAAATGCTTATACAGGACAGAGAAAATATTCTATAAAAAGAAAAATGTTTACATCGGTAAAATACGCATGCGTATTGATGACGACAGCGGCAGAATTCATCGTATTAGTTGATCGTTTCTCATTCAAATTTGGATTCCATCGAATGTTTTTTGAGTATTTAAGTTTTTTCACCTGAAGAAGAACCTAAGTGGGTTCGAAAACGTTTGTGGGAACTTTTTAACCGGATTTTTGTATTTAATTTCGCACCGTAAAGGTTTGTGGTTGATTAATTTTGCATTTGTATTTTGTTTAATAGACATCTCTCAGCAACAGAAGGTGGTATTGATAGTTCATTAAGTAAAACTAATAACTATATGAAAAGATAATCAGAATATGGCAGTTAACATTTATATTTTCATTCCTATATAATTTACTATTATTATTATAATTTGAAAATACAAGAAATTCTGTAGTTTGACAATATATTGTTCAATGCTAATAAATGAAATTTGTTACCAAACAATTTTTCAATAATTATATTATTCTTTCTTCTGTGATTATTGATTATGATTAAAATTATTAAGCACTATGATAATATTGTACTATTTTGCTTATATATATATTTTATGATTTTACACAAAATAGAATATTTACATTAAATTTTATAATTAGTTATTTTAAATTTGAAAAATATTTTGAACACAGTCTTTATTGACATATGATATGAGAGCTTTGATTCCAGTTTTAAATTTGCTTAAACAAATTGTTCTATTTTACACAAAGTTAACCCCTAAAACACTCACTATTTGATGATATAAAGAATGCAAAATATTTGCTTTGAATATTGTCTCATATGATAAATACTTTTTGCTGTTAGTTGTTATTTGCATTATCATGCAGTTTCATCAATAATGACTAAGAGAAGTTTCTTCAGAATGCTGTGAAAACAATACTTCAAATCTCAATTCTTCAGGTCATTTCTCTAACAGAATTTAAATGATTTTCTTAATAAACACCATGCAAGCAAAGCATTATTATTATTTTTTGAATCTATAAAAACTTTTACAATGCTATTTTTAATACAGATATTTAATTTTTCATTAAACAAAGGAGTAAATTTCAATTGGAATGAGCTGATAGGAAAAGTTAAAAATTAGAATTTTTTGTTTTTTAAGCTGAAATTTTTGGTTTTTTTCATTAACTTACATCACACAAGAAACTTATTGATATAGACTATTACTGTATGTGGATATGTATTTCACAGAATATTCTATGTAAACACGTATATGTGATGTAATTTATAACTTTTATTTGTTTTAATAAGATCTGGATATAAAAAATAAAGACTGAAGAGGGGTCATTAAGACCCAAAATGCATATCCACATCCAATAATAGTCTTATCAATAAAATTTTCTCATGTGATGTAAGTTACTGAAAAAAAAAATTTTAGGCTTAAAAATAATCCACAGAAACTGGTAATAGAAACTATCAATTAAAAATTAGGATTTATATCATTACAAAATTCATTTACAATTAGCATGTTTAAACAGTGTCTACTTTGTGTATTTTAAATTATTTGATCACTGAAATAAATTATTTTAGCATTTACTGCCAAAGAACTTTTGATTACCCCACCTGTAAAATCTATAATATTTATCATTTGTGTTTCAACATATTTTTTTTAATTCTAATAAATTACAAGAAAATTCACTAATCATAAAAATTAATCATACTGACATACCTTCGATTGTACAGATTTTAACTCCAACTATAACAGGTTCATTTTCTCTAACAAATATTCTTGTAGTAGTATCATCCTGAATTCCATTAATAAATCGCCCACGCTTTCCAATTAGAGCACCACAAAACTCTTGAGGAACTTCAAATGTATATGAAAATAGTATATCAGTAGCATTTGTTTCATTACCGCATTGTATATCACTACCACTACCTCCTTTACCACTATCGCTTCCAGAATCCTATAAATAAGAAAAATAAATTTTCATAATTCATATATATATAGCAATATAGCACACAATATTAAAAGGTAAATACAAAACTGAAGCATATTCATTTATAAGAAAATAAAATTGCTTCAATAGAGATGGAATTCAATAAAAATAAATCCAATATTGATTGACAATTGTACAAGTAACTTTGAATTATATCAATCATCATCAAAAGCAGTCAAATGAGAATATGATGAAGGTAGAGTTCAAAAACATGGGATATTTTCCAATTTTAAAGACTTAATTCCATTAAGAAAAGTTCTGAATTTATTTTCTTATAAATAAAAAGCTATAAGAACTAATACATTTAAAAAGGAAACACAAAAATCTTAAATGACTAATTAATTAAAAAGAGAAACATTCATTTGAAAAGTATTAGAAATAAATTGGATACATATACATTGAAGTTCATTTAACCACAAGTTATATTTATTGATAATAATTAACAATTGATAACATTAATTTGTAGCTTAAAAGCTTATTCTGAAAGAGATATAAACTGATCATTTACAAATACAATAATCTCAATTTCTATAGCAAACAGATTTCATAAAAATCTGTCTACAGCTGTTAGCACATTATATATGTATGTCATCGTGTTATAGATTTTATAATTGAATAATATGAAATTCGTAACAGTTCAGGGAGATTACAGTGCTTTCATTTTTTTAATGGACTTCATATCAAAGACAAAGTACATAATAGCAATTTTTGTACTGCATACTATTCTTATTTATAGTCACCAATTTGATATAAAATTTTACCATGAAGTAATCTCTTATATATGTAAAGAAATCACCATGTTAAAAATATACCAAAAAACACTACGTATTCAACAGTTGATAAGATCAATTAAAAAAAATTAAAATATAGAGGAATTGTTCTATTCTAATTCACAATTTATAATGTTTTATAGTTAATAGTTTTTCCATTATTCTAAAAATTAACAATAAATCAATAAGTTGGATGCTGTTAATACTATACGACATTAGTTTTATAGGCTTTTCTTTCCCTTATTCATGAAATATTTCCAACTACTTATAATCATCTATATGCAGAACTAAATACAGTAGAGCATCGATTATCCGAATCAATTGGGGACTGGGGTTGTTCGGAAAATCAATATTTCGGATAACCGATTATGTATGAAAAATATATTAACCTATCCCATGTTGAAATTTTTCTCCGTTGCGTGTTGCTTCGCGTTGAATTTTCGTCGACGTTAAGCCTAACGAAGACTATTGTATCGTTAAAAATTATTTTTTTATTTTGTATGAACAAAATAAATATATTAAAAAATATAAAAACAATAAAAAATTATACTTCAAAAGTTAATTTAGTATCAAAAACGTAAAATATTTGAGTAGTCCAAGACATAGCCAAAGATTGCAGCGCTACAGCACTGGCGAAAATTTAAATTTACCGACTGGAATTCTTTCGGATAATCGACACTCTACTGTACATATATATCTGACAATATTCTCTCTTACATTTTATTTTGTCATTACTCTAAGTCTGGCATTTATTTTTATTCTATATTTTCATAAATATCTAGATTACTGATATTACAGTGCTTTTTTTAAAATATGGCAACAATCAGTAAATGTTGGCATATTTGTCATGTGCATGATTTGGTATCTTGATAGTTTGTGGTATTTGATTCATTGTTTACTCAAGAAAGTGATCTACAAAGTGTGTACAAAGTGATTTGGTATCTGATATCATATTCATAAGTGATTCGAGTATTTATATTGAAATCACCTTGCAAAATGTTGCTGAGTTATATGCTTTGTATTTGTTATCAAAATACAAATATTTTAACAAAACATGTCTCTTGCTATGTTGAAATTTTTGATCTACAAGTCATTTGCTACATTTTGAACCTTTTTTAGGTTGGTTTGTATTGATGTGAGCAATTACATGTTGAAAATATTTCTAATTTCTCAGAGAGAAAAAGCTGTAAAATACTTTGTCATTAAAAGAGAAAAATAATAAGTTTACAAAGATTCACACAATTAATTCATATGTAAAATTAAATCTGAAAGAATTTGTGTCTTTCCTAAACTTAAAATGTGATAAATGCATTTACTGCACTCAAAGTTGGTTTCCCATGGAATTTCAAACTGAGAAATAGTATTCTATTATTATTTGATTAAATACGACTTAATATCAAATTTTTAAAATTTACATTTTATTAAATTTTTCTTAACTGATCTTATGATTTTATTCTCCTAACTATATCTTAACAATTTTTCTAAATTTTTAATTTTTTCTTATAGTTTTGTTTAAAATATTTAAATTGCCATTGAAAGGTAAAAATGTGTAGTAAAGTCAGATTAAAAGACGACTTCAAAATCTGAAATAGCAAATAATAATGTTCAAATTCTAAAACAAAGGACTATATGAAAACTTCTAGCTTTTTTTTCCAGTTTTAGCACGTTTTGCTATTTTAAAAAAAATTCTATTATAAAGCTAATATAATATACATTAACAAAAAAATTTCGTTTGATTATATATTTAATTCTTAATATTAAAAATATTGTGTATAACTGACATATCATACAAAACTTAATTTATGAAAAAACATTTAGAAGATACACATGAATTAAGATAAAAAGCTGAAAGAATAGTCAAACAAAAAATTATTAAAATATTAGAATATATATGAAAATTTCATTGAAATATATAGTTGAAAATATTAACATTTTAATCTCAAAACTAATTAGTTCCAAATGAATCAACAAACAAGTTCAACTTGCAAAAAGAATCAAAAACAATATATTCCAGTTATAAAATGAATAAATTTTTGGCAAATGTTCTACAACATTTTCCAAAAATAATGCTTTTTCTTTGTTACCAAAATTTCCTGATAAAGTATCACACATAAATACATATATATCATTAATATATTTAATTAATCATTAATAGAACTCCAGGATTTGTGTGTAATTGACTATTCAACAACACTGAATTTGCAATTGGAATATAATGTTTCACAATCATAATAATTACACACAAAAATCAAAAAAATCCTGCAGAATAAAAATAAGTGTACACACTTTTGTACCTAGTGGTGTGTACAAACTTCCAGAATTAGATGATGATTCACTAAAAGCCAGCTGCACAATTAATGACTTAAATGTCTAAATATAATTTAGAACAAACTGATGAAAATTTCCAATATATTAGAAATATTTATTATAAAATTTAATATTAAAAGCATTTCTTTAAAAGAAACTTTAACATATTTTTTAAACTTCAATAAATATTCTAATTTAATATCATATACCCAATACAAAAATTTTAAATAATTGTGTATACCTGAGGAACAATTTTAAGCCAGCCAGTTTATTAAAAAAAAAACCTTGAAGTTTTGAGAAAATGAGATTTCACTAATTTATCCAAGTATGAAAGAAAATTCACTATGATTTGATTTAACTGAATAGAAATATTCAAAATTACTTTAACACGTTGACTATTCTCATTTCAACTTCAAAAAAAGATTAATTGAAGACATGAATGGATGAAGATGTTATATTACAAAAATCAAAGCTTTGAGTGAATCGACATTTCAGTTTTGGTTATGTAATAATTTAAATATTTCTACAAACTAGTGTGTTAATTTCTGAGATCTTTGATGGTGGCACATGAGAGAAAAACATTACACTTTCATCCATGCAGGAGACAACTGGGTTTGAATGATTGCAACATAACACCTTCAGCCACTCATTCTGCAACTGCTAACAAAAAAGGTGGGATCTGGCTAGATGCAATTATACACAATAGAGTTTTTAAAACTAGCATAACTGAAAATCAATGAATAAAATATTGCAACAATGCTACTGATTATAACAAGAACTAATTATTAAAATCCTAAGCTATGTATTCATATTGTTCTTAAAACCAAGTTACTGATACACTATTCACATCTTAATTTATTAAAATAAATTTCTATTCAAAATCCAATCTCAAAAACATTCATTGCTTCACACCTGACTCATGTGACAGATGGAAAGTAATTCTGAAAATATATCATTGAAAGCACATTCTATAGCTAAACACCAACCGTATGCCGATGTTTGAAAGCACATTTATAATGAAATGCAAATACAAATTAAAATAAGTCAATAAAACAAAATTTTCAATTATTACTAAAATTATTCAAAAAAATATTGTTATTCTATTTTACAATGACCATAATTAGATGATTATTATTACTAATTATTATAAGTCTTTGTTTTTTGCAACTACTGCATTTTCATGCACTAGTTGCAAAAAAAAACAAATGCACATTAATGTAAATGTTAAAAAAAACAAAAACTTAGCATATTCTCATATTTATCTCATGTCATATGATTAACCAGAAATAAGCTATATTAAGCTATAAAATTTATGTTTACATATAGAGAAAAAATTATTTTACAACTTTTCTAGCTAAGATAAACAATTACTACTGTTTACTTACCTCACTTGGAAAATCAGAGTAGGCACTGTGAGGTAAACTTCCATTGTCTGTTAAACTCTGAACAGAATCACTACAGTCCCCTACATTTATCCCATTCATTTGTTTCTTTGATTTTTTAGAACCAAGATTATCAACTACAGTTTCTTCAACTCCATTACAACCATCTGCATTTTCTCCTTGATTCTGATGCATCTTTTCATTCATTTCTTGCATCATTTTCATCTTATTTATTGATGATCTTCTGCATTCTTTAGTTATCATATGATTCATAAAAGCACTGAATGAGGCTGCTTCTTGACTTGTTAGTGCTTCTGAAGATTGCAATTTCTTCTTACGTTTATTCTTCTTTGTTTTTGACTTTTTACTTTTTCCTGTTGGCTTTTGATTTGTGTTTGAAGGATTGCTGGATACATCAACATTTTTTGTTGTGTTATTAGTTTGATTGTTTTCCAAGCTAACAGATTCTGATTTAGGAATATTGCTAATATCACATAAATGTAAATCTTCAAGTTTGTTAACTATATCACTACTTGTATTACATTTCATTTGAGTATCAGCAAGTAAATGTTCTTTATCTTCTGTTGTATTTTGTTTGGATACTTTCACTGTTTCTTTAAGTTTTAATGTTCTATTTTTTTGTGTATTAGTTTGAACTGTTCCTGCCATTTTTTGTGTACTTTTACCTGAACCACTTTCAATACGCATCACTATTGATGCTGTGGTATAAAGTCAACTTATTAGATATTATATCACTTGTATAAAGACCAATTAAAAGGTAAATTAAAGCAATCCAATTAAAATCACTTTTTCCCTTGATGAAGATACTCTGAAAAGAAAAATTTTAATCAATTAGTTCAAATTATGAATCAATAAATAATTCAAATTCAATTTATGAATGGTAAAAAAAAATTAATTATTTTCTATATATACATTACAAAATCAATTATTATTAAAATTATTTTTATTTCTAATTGTTAAAAAATAAGTGAAAGGAGTAAATTTCACAAAAAATAACAAATAAAGACAGTCACAAAGAGAATGCATAAAAAAACTATCAAAGTTTTAATATCTGTATTAATTATTGGACATATTCACAATGTACAAGTTAATTGTGATATAATGATATTCAATAAACTTAATAAAAATTCTTATAATCATATTTGCAAGCAAAGCTATTAAATCCAATTTTGTGTTAGTCAACAAAACTAAATATGTGAAAATGTTCACAAAGAATAAAAAAATTCTTTGAAATTCGTATTTCATATTCATAAGATTATTATACTTAACAGGAATTATTTATGACAAACAAATCTCTTTAGAAATATACACATATCCAACTATTATGAAAACATGAACTACAATTCTACAGTACCAAATTTAGAATTGATGTTTGCAGAAATGTAGCCATAAGTTTGTTTGGGGATCACATGGCTAATGGATTGCATACACTTATCGTAAGTAGATAGACTATTGTAAATATGCAATAACCTGTGGTTACTAGAAACACATTTTACATGAAGCAACCATACTGATATGGCAGCTCTTTGAAGTCAAACACAAACCAGTGAAAAACAGTTTATTATTCTTTATATCAACTGTTCATGTATCCTAGTATTTATGTCTGATGCACCAGTTTTCTGTTTCATCCAGTGGTCAATAGCTTACAACGTTCTTTTTACACTGTTTACTTTTAAACTTGAGTGGAGCAGCAGAGGGGCAGAAGAGCATTAGTATGGGAAATACCATCTCATGAGGAAACATCCTCCATGTGTGCAATATATTTAAGTGTATGTATATTTCCTTCAAAGATATTCAGACAGTTTATGCAAATTTATGAACAATTTGAATAAATAAATTTTTTATATATAATCATAGAATCTGTTGTTTTCTAGAACTTCCTGAATTGTTTTTGAATGAAATATTCCCAAAATAAATTTTATTTTGGATAGTAATCTTGTATATATGATAGAAGTGCCATGTATGTAAACATCTACAATGGCACAAATGATTACAATAAATCTTATGAATTTAATTTCTCTAATTCTGATACACTATCAATGGCTAGTATTAAATATTTTCTGGAAAACACAAAAAATGTATATTCTTATAAATGATCCATTAATATTGTTATATAAAATTGATTCACATATAAGTGATTTTAAAATGCTTACTAATAAATGTTTAATGTTTACTTTATAAATGTTTACATTAACTATTACAGATGTAAAATTCTGTCAAAATTCTTAATTTTTTTTTTATTTAAAAATGTTTAGTTGTGTTTAGAAATAAAATTTTCTATTTTAGAATTATTTTTATAAATTGATTTTCCACTTTAAAACAAATTAAAATTCTAAAGTATGAAAAAGTTCCACACAGAAATTTAATGTATATAACTGTATACATAAATATGTTTAAAAGAAAAACAAGCTTATGCCTTCTCACATACAAAACAGTTTGACAATTAGGTGGCTTTTATAATTTGCCAGGGGCAATGATATAACCGGTTATACAATTTGTTTACTCACTTCACCTGTCTATTATCATATTTGTAAAGTTTTATTAAAGATTTAATGTGTGTATATTATATATATGTATAAAATCAAACACTTTCTCAAACATTTACAGAAAATTATTGCATTAAAATATTACAGTGGAACCCCGGTTAACGAACTTAATCCGTTACGCGACTCCGTTCGTTAACCGAATTGTTCGTTAACCGAAGCAATTTTTTCCATAGAAATTAATGCAAATGCAATTAATTCGTTCTAGTCTCCGAAATTTTTGTCATTTTATTTGAAATATACAGTAATTTTCTTTGATGAAAATGTACAAAAACGTAGTATCTATCATTACAGCAGCAAACATGTAAACTTTGTTTAATAATACCTTCGTTTGTTGTAGTTGGTGGCAGAAAAGTGAAGATATACGAACCTTAATAATTAGAAGGGGAATCCCCTCCAAAAAATAACGGGTAGCACTTCATCGGAAGATTCTTCGAGTCGAAGTTTCTTTCGGTAAAAACCCACCAGTGGCTAAGTGGTCTTCGTACCTTGAACACCGTTCGTTCGTGGGTTCGCACCTTGCTGAGACGGGCTGGCTACGTGGAGTTTTCCGGGATTTATTCACGTCTGTAACGCCTAAATAGGGGCCAGTTTCCCTTAAAAACACCTCCCAGAAGGCATTTCACTCTAGTCAGATCGCCCAAATGTTGCGTTGCCATAACTTAACAATGAAACAAACTCTTTCCGTAAGGAACAAGAAATTGATCTAAAGTTGATTGTCTTACTCTTTTAATCAAAATTTTTCTCAAATGCGATAGCGCATTGTCGTTTTCTATTGCCACTATGACTTTTTTCTTTCTTTGATACCATATTGATTAAATATATAAATCACAAAACTGAAAAAAAGAAGTATAGCACAAACACTCGGAAAAGCAATGCTTAACTCGCGCATGCCTAACACCAACTAAAATTTGATACAATATACCGTTACGTTCGTTATCCGAATTTTGTTCGTTATCTGAGACTAAATTTTTGCAAAATAAAAGTTCGTTAACTGATTTGGTCGTTAACCAGGACGTTCGTTAACCGGGGTTCCACTGTACTAAGTGTTCTTTATAAGTATATAAATTACATAGCTGTTAAAATTGATTTGTCATAAAATAACTGAATATAAAATTTTAGAAACTTATAAGTTTTAACTATGTTTAAAATAACCAGAAACTTAAAAAATTTTAAGGTAATAAATGCATTAAATCCTACATCGATGTGTTTTTTATAACAACTTTAACAAGATAGCCTTGATGCCACCTATTCAAAATTTTCTTAAAATCAAATTTATTAATGAAAATTTTATTTGAAATAATCTAACATTTTCAATTCAGGCAGAAGAAAGTAATATATATCAGTAGTAGACTTACATCATAAAAAGCATTTTCTTTAAAAACTAACAAAGAATGCAATATGAGAATAAAACATGAACTATACTAATAATTTTATTAAAGATTCCTTAAAGCAATTTCAAACTTAACATGTAAAAGAAAATGTCAAACATATACTACTAAAGTTTTACATTCTGTTTGAATTCTTTAATTAATTTAAGGATTCGATTAATTCTAAACTGTTTTTTTTAATATTTACGTATTTCATACTTTAAAAAACACATTAAACAAGCATGTCACAGAAAATGTAATAAATTAAATGATCTTCAAATCAAAGTGTTGTATAACTACTTTGTTAATATAGATTGTTTTAACTTTATATGCTGAAACAGTAGACCTAGTTTAGATTTACATTCAAATAACACGATATAAAAATTAATCTGATGGATTACATAAACTTTAATTTGTTGTAAAAATTAAAAAATATCTCCAAATAAAAACTGACTTAGGTCACTTTCATAATCACTAGCACATATATAAACAATCAAACACCCAATTTTTACATAATGCCAAACAATTGCCATATTATTGGGCTATAATGAGGCTAATTTAGATGCAAAATAAATTGATTAGAGGTAGGCAGTTATGCCACTATTTCATTATAATTATAATAAATAAATAAATTTTAATTTAGAATTTCTGGAAAAAAAGCAGTTCAGACTCAAACAGATGCGCTCTCAATTATGCTACTCCATCTGACCTTTGTATCAAGCAATGTTTCCATACATCTACAGACCAATATTTTACAATATCATACAGATGTTTAATATTTAAAAAATTCAGATTTTTATCTCTCATTTCACTTAAACTGAGAGATAAACAGGAAAAGGTCCAAGTGGTTTTATCGATACGATAGAAACATCTTGTTATTCTCATTACACCATAACAAATAACTCTTCCATCAATATTTAAGATAAAACAAAATAAAAATATATCACAGGATACAAACTATTAATAGTAAGAAAATTACAAAAACATATGCCTTTGAGATTAAATTCTTAACCTTAATACTAGTGATACAGTAACTGTTTTTCTTAAAGTTTAAAATTGTAATATATTAAACAGAGCACTTTTTAAATAATTTTCAAAAAAATCTAAATTATAATCTCTAGCAGACAGTAAGGACTTTGAAAATTGCTTAAGAATGCAATTTAAAATATATTAAACATTTGGAATTTTGAACCAACCAACATACATACATATTCACTTTAACAGGAGATAAGATAATCTGATATTTATGATTTAATAAAACTACAACTTTTCAAGGACAAAGTGAAAATTAGCTTACACTATAAATCAAATATATGATTCATATATTTAATTCACGATGACAAGATTATTATTATTATATATTTTTATAAAAACATTTTATATGATTTAAGTTACTACAAAAATATTTATAAAATCTGTTTATATTTCGCGCACACACAAAACTTTATTTACAGAACACGTGATTAGTTGTAAATTTCGCGCCAAATTATCACGTGATTATGTTAATTTCACACGTAGGAAGGGAAAAATGAGCACAAAGTTATAAAGCCAAATATTAACAAAGCGTCGATTATGGTTATTAAAAAAAAAATGAACTCGAAATTGAAAATCTAGATTTTAAGTTTGAGTGGGAAGCACCAGGAAACTAAGCAATGTGTGTCTGGTTACAAAAGGATTTTGTCTCCATAGCAACCGAGAACGAAGGAACCCGAGTAACTGGAAAGTCGTACAAAGCGGGGCTCAGCAGACAACAATGCTAAATAGTATGAAGTTCGCTGAACTCTAGATTCGCCCAGTCAAGAATTTTACGAAAACGAGTTTTGAATTTACAAAGTTTCATCTTCGTATCTCTGATTCCTTCCGATACGAAAAGTATCAATTCGTTTACGTAAGTAACAGGTGAAAGAAGAGAATTTTTTCCCGTCGCCTAACCAAACACCTGCCATACAGGAAGTGATTAGACACTTATCTCAAATTGTACTGTACCTACACGTAAAACTTCGACATAATTATTTCAATTAGATAAACAATAAATTTCTCTATACTTTGCGTACTTTTCAGAGTTATGCGAAAGAATTTTTCGTAAAAGTTGGCCGCCGACAGGTTTTGGAACGATACTAAAAAAGCTAAAAACGCGATCAGGACGATGACTCGGAGCAACATGTCGGCTATAAAACTTACAGAAAACGTCACAGAATTAGTTCAAGACTAACGTTTTTCGAGTTTAAACGCCTAGAAAAGAATCCCGTAAAGGTTTAGAAGGCTAAAATTTTCGAACTAAAGCGCTAATTTGTGAAATAACTTCGAATTTTCGGTAACTTCTCCGCGAATCGCAAAACGGGCGACAATTGTTAATATATACAAGTTTAGATCGTGAAAGGTGGTAAACTTTCCAGAATTTCAAGGTCGTCGTATCTCGTTCGTGCATCTTTGAATTAACTTCAGTCGATAAACAAAATTTACGAAGAAAAAAAAAATCCGAGCAAATTTACGATTTAAACTTATCAATTTTAAGAAAAATTATATCACTTAACACATCTATAAATCTTTGGTTTCGGGTAAATCAATAAGGAATGAGTCACAACTTCGTCGTAAAAAAACCGATTACTAAACATGATGCAAACTTATCAATTAGGGGAAAACGTTATAAGTTAAAATATGAATTTATAAACGTGTAAATCACACTTTAAACATTTATAAATATTATCACAACTTAATAACCTTTTATTAAAATAATAAATGGAAAATGAAGATAGAAAATGGATAAGCAAATTATTTTCGGTAATTTTCTACTTTAAAAAAATCGCGTTTTAAATTAAAAAAAGAAAAACAACCCACTGATCATTCACCTCAAAAGTCTAAGTCATTAGTGGATTATTGTTTGAAAATATTGTGCGCTTTCAACATAATCAATGGCATTTAATTGGTACCGTTCTTGCTTAAATTTAAATATTCTGCAAACCGATTAATCATTTTCGAGTCCCAATTTTATTTAAATATATGTTTTTTTTTTTTTTCCTTTTCCACGCGGGAAGCAAAATTAGGAAAATTCTAGACTTCAGACAAATCGATAAGCGTTTTAGACGAGACATTGGTAAAGTCGAACACCAAAGAAAACGTCTTAGTCATTAAAAACGTATAACTTATATACTTCGGAATGGAACGAAATTTTTCGAAATTTACTATAACCTGAATGGGAGAAAAATGCAGTGAAGTCTGCAGAGAAAAGAGTTTTATGTATATAGATATAAATGCTGAATTTAGTCGAGCGTACAAAAATGTTCTGGACATTCTGTTCTAGGTCAAAATTATCCAAACTGGTATCACTGTGTAATCGAGTCGAACAAAGACAGGAAGTGCAGATTAGAACTTGTTCAATATACCTGAGACAATTACAATATTTAAAAACAAACAAAAATTTTTTTTATATATTATACGTTTAAATTACTTATAGTGCCAGTAACATTTTATCAAATCACAGAAGAACTAAAAAAATCTGATGGAAAAAGTTTATAATTTAAGATTTTTAAATATTAATTTTAATGATTTTAACAGTTATTTATAAGCATTGCTTTCAATTAAATGACTAACAGTATTTAGTTCCTATTAAATTAGCAACAAAATTTTAACACATTAATTTTAGAAAAAAATGAAAAAATTTCTTAAACTCAGATCCAAAATTATCTAATTATCAAGTCAATTTAACTACATATCTAATTTTGACATATTTAATTTAGTTTTAATGGGAATTTGATTAAATTAATTTAAAAATCTACAAGCTGGATTATATTAAAACTAATTTTACCAATATTAGCTTGAACGTAATCCTGTTTGGTTACTAAAAAATAGTCGACTTTAGTTATAAATTAATTCAATAGAACTTTATGTAATTATATCAAGTAATATAATAATTTTAAAAAATCACAAATGAAAAAAGTTGAACTTTAATATCAATTACAAAACAATATGGAATCATTTGAGATTTCATCTTTGATGCAATCAAACATAAAATTCAAAACAAATTTTTAAAAATATTAGACTTGTTTTGAATTATTTTGTTTTTCTTTACAAGCAAATTTTGAATTTCTGCCAGATAAAATTTCCAAACAGGAAAAAACTATTAGATCATGTATTTAAATTCAGATTAATACAAGCACAAAGAAATAATTTTATCAAATTTAATCCAGTATTAACAAATTTATACAAAATTAAATGCATTATTTCCCCATAATGGAATAAACATACACAATTCTAAAAAATTAAGTTTGCTATAATTTATGAAAATAATTAAAAAATATATATATGAAATTCATAAAATTATGACCATCTTGCAGAGGTTCAAATTTTTGAAAGTTTGTTAATAAGATTAATTTTTATGCAAATTTTTAATATTTGATTTTAAAATTTTACATGTAAATTGCATTCTTTTCTACCACTACATAGGAATTACCTGAGATACTGGGATAATGCCAGACCTTGTCAATAAAAAGAAAAAACATTAGGTCCAATGACTTAGTATGAATGGAAGCCTGCCAAATGTCTTACATCATTGAAAATAGGGTCAACAAAATGTAATCAAACTTTTAAATATGTTTAAAAAAATTTAATGGAGAAGAATCAAATGTATTTGTATAGCTAAATGATGGATAAGATGATTTGGCTAATAGATTATATCAAAACTGAGAAATATTATTTTTGGCAAATGGTTTAGACCAATTCTTTCTATTACTAATTTAGATCAGTTAAAACGAAGCCAAAGTTATATTTGCTTTCGTTTGTGAAAATTCATTTGAATCGAAGTTTTAAATTTTACATTCCCGTACGAACATATTTAATATTTTATAAGAATTATACAATTCTAATTCTGCAATGTATAGATAGAAATGTTTACATATCATAAATTAATCCATTTTTCAATATTAAATTTAACAATAAATTGTCATTACATATGAATTTGTACAAAGAATGCAGTAAATCAGAAAATCAAAGAATTTATATTTTTGTATGATTTCCTATATATTTCAAGGAAAAATCCTAAAAAATATATAGACGTTTCATATATTTTGATAAATTTAAATAATAACGGCAATTTTAGTTTTTATGATCTTCAATATCAAAATATCCTTTTTTTATAACAAAATCATTAAATATAAATTACATAATTATTATACAAATTATGGTAACTTAGGAACAGAAAAGTACTTGTATATTAATCATCATGCAAGCAAAATAATAATTATCCATAGCATAAAATAATTTTTAAAAAATTATAATTTGTACAGAAAATAAATTTTTAATAATGACATCTAACATGTAAACTTTTAAAATTGTTTAAATCCCAAGAAATGTATTCAAAACATTTTACATGGAAAGTTTAAAATAAACAATTAAACTGAAACTAAACAACTCATGTATAGTATATATATCATTAATGAATTAAAGGCACAAAACTGGATCAATTCAGTTCACGTAAATTTTCCTAGATTTTCGTTATACCCTATTTCCAATGAAGCGTGTTTCATATGATTTCATTTCCAAATAAATTTTTAATTATATTTTGTTACAAAAATACATTAAATAGTATTATAGGGAAAAAATCAAATTAGAACCAAATGTTTTTGAAAGTGTAAAATTTTAATTTTCTCTAATTAAATTCAAGATATGAGTCATATAAAAAGGTACTTTAATTATTAAACAAAGAACTGAATAATATACATATATTAGTATGAATGGATAGTGTTGATGTAATGCTTGCATCAAAAAAAATCTTAGCACCTAAAGTGTTAAATTCTATTTATTAAAAATTTGAATCATTTTATATTCATTTCAATGCCAATTTAGTTATTATACCTTATTATCTAATAATCTCTTCAATATAAGAAATAGAAGTGATTATTCTAATAAAAAAATAAGATAGTAATTTATGAATGAAAAATTTTGCATTTCTCATTCATAAGTCACTTNTCTGGAAAACACAAAAAATGTATATTCTTATAAATTACATAATTATTATACAAATTATGGTAACTTAGGAACAGAAAAGTACTTGTATATTAATCATCATGCAAGCAAAATAATAATTATCCATAGCATAAAATAATTTTTAAAAAATTATAATTTGTACAGAAAATAAATTTTTAATAATGACATCTAACATGTAAACTTTTAAAATCGTTTAAATCCCAAGAAATGTATTCAAAACATTTTACATGGAAAGTTTAAAATAAACAATTAAACTGAAACTAAACAACTCATGTATAGTATATATATCATTAATGAATTAAAGGCACAAAACTGGATCAATTCAGTTCACGTAAATTTTCCTAGATTTTCGTTATACCCTATTTCCAATGAAGCGTGTTTCATATGATTTCATTTCCAAATAAATTTTTAATTATATTTTGTTACAAAAATACATTAAATAGTATTATAGGGAAAAAATCAAATTAGAACCAAATGTTTTTGAAAGTGTAAAATTTTAATTTTCTCTAATTAAATTCAAGATATGAGTCATATAAAAAGGTACTTTAATTATTAAACAAAGAACTGAATAATATACATATATTAGTATGAATGGATAGTGTTGATGTAATGCTTGCATCAAAAAAAATCTTAGCACCTAAAGTGTTAAATTCTATTTATTAAAAATTTGAATCATTTTATATTCATTTCAATGCCAATTTAGTTATTATACCTTATTATCTAATAATCTCCTCAATATAAGAAATAGAAGTGATTATTCTAATAAAAAAATAAGATAGTAATTTATGAATGAAAAATTTTGCATTTCTCATTCATAAGTCACTTGTTTATCAAACTGTAGTTATTTTTCCTTAACTTAAACAGGAAATTTTTATTTTGCATTGATTTCCCCAAGGAGCAATTACATAGTAAACGAAGTATTTAGTTGTGATTAAATTATCCAGTCATTGTACAATTATTCTAATGAATGTTGTATAAAGTTCTAAATATTATTGCCAAGTTAATGTAATGCTTATTTCTTTAGAAGTATTAATTCAATTTTCTACAATGAGATGTTAGAATCATCACATACGAGTCACTTAGATTTTACAAATACATGAGCTGTTCACAGCCAGGCACACCTATTTGTAAAATCTAAGTGACTCATACAACATGGAATTCATATAAAACGGAATAATCNGTACGAGTCACTTAGATTTTACAAATACATGAGCTGTTCACAGCCAGGCACACCTATTTGTAAAATCTAAGTGACTCATACAACATGGAATTCATATAAAACGGAAAAATCAACGGTGTTATAGGGGAGGTCGACTGTATTTATAAATTTATACTATTTATAGTTACATTTAGTTTGGAAATTTTAAATAATTATTTTACAATCTGGATTCAATATCATAATCTTGTTTAATGTAAGCAATCAGCTTAATCCTCATTTTATCATGAATGTTCAAAAACTTTCTATTTAGCAAGTGATTAAAATGATGTTTTTTGTTAATTTTTAATCTGTTTTAATTCA